AATAGCCCATGGCTTAAAGTGGCCCAAAGGAGCTTTCGCTTCGGCCGTTTACTCAGAGTAGGAGCGTCGTAGAAACCAATCCTGCCATAATGGGAGAACTCCGTCACAGATCGGATGACTCTTAGGTCGACTCTAGAAAAAATCGTACTCGCTACCGAACGAACAAGGCATTCCGATCAAACGTTGTCAACTTTTCGCCCCGGGAGAGCCAGCAAGTTACTAGGACGATGCAAAAACCGAGAGCTCCATTGGAGTTGGGCAAGTTTCCAGCGGGGTTTGGGAGGTCCTACTTTCGAAAGGTCGCCCCTGCAGCGTTTGTTGCCCTAGCTGCGGCAACCTGGGCACATTGCCGAGTTGACGATACGAGGAAGCGATCAGATGGTCGTGAAGTGGACCTAAGATACGCCCGGAGGGAAGAAGAGGGGATGCCCATATAGGAACTGCGAGAGGGAAGACCTTCCACGATGAAGCCCGCCAATTCATATCCCAGAGAGCTTCCTCCATAGCCCTAACCAGAACTTCATGACCGACTCAACGACCAACTGCAGACTTCAAGAGACTGGCTCTAGTCCCATCAGAGGCTTACACTGGTGACGAGCAGTCGTCCGTTGAAGATGTGTGGAATGAGTAAATCGATCAGAATGGCGTGCGCAAAATTACGTCAGCACTTGATGAAATTCTGGGAGCCGACCATCGCAGAAGACTAATAGGGATCTTCCTGGGCTGATCTTATTCATCCTACCCCTCTTCTGAGATGGGGATATACGTTTTTGCTTCGCCAGGAAACTGTAGTCGATCTCGGGGGGCGTATAGTGCCTGTTGGTTGCTGTGCAGTGTCGGGTCGAGCGGGCGAGCATGTGTGGGTGTAAATGCTTCCTTACCTCGGTAGTTGCTGCTGGTGTACTTGTGATGGCAGATATTATCTCTTTAAATGTGTCCATGATACCTTATCTACCGCTCGTAATACTCCCATCTGCCATGGCTATCGCCCTACGCCATGGTGGAAGGGACGTTGGCGTCGCTCCGTCGTCGTATATAGAGAAGTCTGGACCTTGGTAGGGCCCATGAGAGGGAGTATGGACACACCACTGACCTCAGGTACCCTTATATGCCTCCTTACGGCGGGGTGTATCCCTATGGGATGCCCAATTATTATCCGTCGATATACGCTGGTGTGCCAGCGCCGCAGTACCAACCTCCGCCCGTCATGGGACAGGACCCGGGTTCGATTCCTGGTTACGGTACCTCTCTTCCGGCTGCTTTCCCTCAGCCAAATATGGTAGCACTTATACCATCCCTCCGCCACAAAGCATTTACTATTACATCCCAGGCTCCCATCCCTCCTCAAGCGTCACCATACTTCCCTCCTACCTCTCAACAGCAGCCGCCCCCTGTGCCCCAGTGGCCTCCAGCCCCCCATCTGCCAGACGCTGGGCCTACCCCAACAGCAATGGTAATGTGCTCAATTCCGACCTATTCTGTATCTTCTGGTAGGGAGTTGATGACTCCTCTGTCGCGGGCTCGAACGCTGTGCTGCCTGGTCGGGGTAGTAAGTCGTCGGATGACATATTGGCGGTCTCTAGCGGAGCGATGCTGATTCCTGGTTCGGGTAGTATAGAAAGAAGTGGCAGCTCTATTGGGGTGGGTCGATCTCAGGGTCAGATACTGCTGCATTGGACCAGCGAGAGTTTTATGCAACCACTACGACTGCAATTCTTACCACGACTACCACTACGACTAGCTCTGTCGATCCGTTGTCGGAAGTTCTGGCAGAAGCTGAGAGGAGGGTCACCGAGAGCTCCAAAGGTGGGTATTCAGTAGTACCCACTAGTGAGTTGATCATCGCGCTCAGAGCTTGAGGATAGGGCGAAGGCTGAGGCCGCTAAGTCCCCAGCTGACATTATGAAGGAGCTGCAACAGTTCACACCTGAGGGGCCGTCAACGACACCATTCCCAGGGGCAAGGGCTGAAGGGCAGGTAAGAGGGGGGAGGGGGAGGATGCAATGAGCAATGGCTCATCCTATCATCCTGGTCCTATTTTCATCTGTTCATGAACTTGTGAGGAACTTAGTTTTTTGAGTATTGTCGATAGTTTATATCATCAGGCGTCGTCCCTTCCTCACTTCGACCATGTGCCCAACTGGCGAGATCTGCTCGGCCCTAGCCTCCATTCGAACGTTTTCGGGGAGGTTCCTGACGACGGGTATCATATCAGAGTTAAAGCACTAGATGATGACTCGTTTGCTGGAGATGCGGTAGTAGGGGGTGTAGGGAGGGATGATGTGAACGATTTGTGGTATGTAGAGTGACGATGGCTCAGAGCCGCCCTTTTGACTTCCTAGCCGATCCAAGATGGGGACCATGAGAACCTCTGATGTTGTCGAGTCCGAGGGGTTGAGTTGGTGTGACGGGGTGACTGTGATTACGCCAGCTGATTTTTCTCGATCGATCATGATGATGATGCCCTCGGCTAGCATGCCTCGTCGCCCTGATGAGGCTCCTAACTACGAGACCGCTCCTATGGAACACAAGAATGAGTTCAATCCTTACATGGACAATGGAGGGTAATGTGTGATGGGTGATGTTTTTCTGATGTTACTGCTGTTGTCAGGACCTGCATCGCTGTTCCTGGTGCCGACTACTGCGTGGTCTCGACTGACAATCGTGTTAGTAAAGGGTATTCTATCGCAACCAGGAATGGATCTAAAATCACCAAACTGTGAGTAAAATGCTTAATAGTTATATCTCGGTACTTGGTGATGACAGGACGGAGCGTTGTGTGATTACTACCAGTGGAATGTTGGCCGATCAGATCACCCTTCACAAGGTGTTGAAGGTGAGGCGACACTGGTGGAGGCATTGGGCCAGCTGGTGGTTCTTTCAGAATCGAGTAGCTCGCTATGTCCATGAGCACAGGCGAGAGCCGACCGTGGGTGCCGTGGCTCAGATGCTGTCGAATATTCTGTATTACAAGCGATTCTTTCCGTACGTGAAGGGACGAGCTGGGGGAGGGAATCTTAGGTTCAAGCGTGTTAGATATGAAGTTGGTACGATATTGGTCATGTTTGAATTTCGTGATGGGAGTTTGATCGTAATTATGGAGGAGGTTTGCTTTAGATACTACACTTTCAACATGATTGCTGGCATTGATGAGAACGGGAAAGGTGGTAAAAATGCTGCTACCAGGGTTCGAACCTGCGTCGAGTTCAGGTAAAGTATACGGTTATGATGCTATCGGCTCATTTGAGTCCATCCCTTGTGGTGCCCAAGGCAGTGGTAGCTCCCTGGTCCAGAGTATCCTTGATAACCAGGTGGGCAAGTCAATACCATCTCTTCTATTCGTGCCCGGACTCTCTCGCTGTTCAGTTGACGAAGGCTCATCAGCAGCTTGCTTCCCATGAGGCTCTCACTGAAGGGCAGATGGTCGAACTGTGCAAGGACGTGATCGCCTCTGCTACAGAAAGGGATATTCATACGGGTGAGCAGAGCTGTAGAGTGTAGTGGCTTGAGTAGTGGTGGAGGATACAGGCGATAGCAATACGATATGCACGATCGACTCGACGGGCATCAAAATACAAACCTTCGAGCTGAGGAAGGACTGAGTGGGACGGACCTAGACACTAGTGCTGGTCATCGTGTGCTGATGAGTACTGACAAGTTTCGATGATCACTCTTTCCTTGTCATACTGTTGTGTCTGTCAATATCGGGGTTGGAGTTCTGTTGCCTGAGAGAAATGGCGGGTGCGAGGATCGAACTCGCGTGAGGAGGGGAGCGGTAGCTACTCAGTTTGTATACAGCATCTTCCAACCGTGAGATCATCATGACAATACTGGTACTGTATAATTATGATGAGACTGGTCGTGCTTGAGCAAGGATGGTACAGCTCTGGTGGAGAGTATTAGTCTTTCTACTGTACCGTAGTAATATAGAAGTGTAGTTAAGGAAAAGTTGGTATGAGATA